CATGTTGTGGAAAACTGCGACCTCAAAACAGAGATTGGTCTCCATATAATGTACCATACCACACTTATTTCGCTATCAAAAACCCACATCTCAGACACAAACAAAGCTGCCAACTTCACTTAAAAAAAAGAAAAAATCACAATTATGTTCAATACCTGTACAAAAACTTGGCGGGACTATAAGGCACGGGATTCCCCGAAAAAACAGCAGAAAACATAGCATCCATATCACAAGCCAGACACAACCTCAAACCCTTACCCCCATTACCATCACCACCATTACTTCTCTTTCCACCAAAAACCCCATTCTCATTACCACTCTTCTTTTGTTGACAATAATATCTATTATGCCTATCACTCAAAAAATAATTCCGTAAAGGCGGAGTATGCAGCAATGCCTGCAATACTGAATTCATAAAACAAGTGTTCCCTAAATTATTCAGCCCTCTCAACCCCCACGGCCGATCCTCTACAAAATTCAACACACTCGAATTGTTATTCACCAGCACGCGCTCGTGGATATCCGGAAGCCACGGCCGGTACTCAACAATCCTCCGTTTTTTACGGAGATTATCGCTATTTACATTGCTATGAATACTATTGGCCTTAGATGACAGCACCACCGCCGCGTCGAAATCGCGATCGTAAACATAATCGCGACACGCGCAGCAGAAAAGCTCAGCACGGTCGACATCGACGGAGATCTCGTGACCAGGAGCCATGGAGGCGGCGTGCGCCGCCGCATGGGAGGGTTCTGGAGGCGCGTGGCAGGAGATGGTAGCGCAGGTTACGCAGGCGTAGATGCGGGGGACAGAGGACACGCCACACGCGCCACAGCGAGGGATCTCTGAGGGGTCACGACGGATCGAGGCGCGGCCGTGAGGTGGTTTGATGCGGAGGCAGTTTTGGAGGAGGTGGAAGGGTTTAGTGCCGTTCCGGGAACGGAAATCGGCGAGGTGGGGACAGGGTGGAGGGATAGAATCGTGGCCGTTGATATGGTGGTGGTGATTGATTTTTGATGACATGGAGGAGAGTGAATGGAGATTTGTGGTAGAAGTCGTGGTTGATAGTAGGGAAGCTGGATTTGAAGGACATGGAGAGGGAGATTAACGGCTGTGATTGGTGGAAATGGAGCGAGGGAACATGGAAAATGATGAGGATGAGGATGATCTTGTGTGACAGAGGGGGCGGGGGGTTTTTGGGGAGGTGGGGTTTGTGGTAAAGTTGGAAGATTGTTCGGAAATGAGATCTGATTCTGGGGGGTATTATTGGGCTTTTCAAACTTTTTATTTCAGGCATTGACTTCCCAATTTCTTCACTTTCGTCCAATCCAACACAAATCACCTACGTGGAACACAACTTTTTTTAGAATTAGTTTCGATGATAAACAAATTTGTTTGCTTAATTAAACATTATTGAAAAGAAGAAATTTTTTATATATTTATACTTTAAAATATGTAGAATTTATAAAACTGGGGAAAAGGAGACTTAATTTAATTATAAAAATATTTTTTTATTAGGAGATAATATAAAAATATATTTATTTTTATCCAAATGTGCTAATCGTATTTGGAAATATTATTTTGAAGCTAAACATAAGTAATACTTTACCTTCATACTTAAAAAAATTATATTTATGATGAAGTTTTTATTTCCAATGTCAATACCATTGTTATTAATGCATCTTGAAAGCAGGCGATGCCTAGCTTCTCTCATCCTTTCCAAGGCTGCTTCTATGGACTGTGGAAAGCATCTATTATTTCTACTGTCAGTACCATTGTTATTAAGACTGGTTCGGACTACATCATTTTCATAACCAAAAGGACTAATTTACAAAACCATGGAACAATAAGGACTAAATTGTAATCTAACTCTGTACAACAATGGCCGCCGATGACCGACTATTTAGCAAAAAAATAATAATAATAAATAAAAGAGATACTCCTTTTATTGTGCATCAACTTATAAAATATTATTTATTATAATAATATTTATTTTGTTTTGTGTTTTTAATATATATTTTATTCCCAATTTATTATTTAACATTTAATATATTAGATATGTGTAATTTATTTTGTTTTATTTTTTATATAGTTATCTTAATTTTATGATTTATGTTGTAGATTTGAAGGGTTAATTGGTTTGATCAAGTGTTTTTTTAGTAATTAAATTTTATAATTATTTTGATTTATTTTTTATTAAATTATTTTAATTTTATAATTTAAGTCACAAGTTTTATAAATTAACTCGTATTGACTTGGATCGTTTATTGTATCTCTTTTTAGATTGAATTTTTTTAAAAAAATTATTATTTAACAAAGAATTGATTGTAAATTAAATTTTATAATTTATTTTGATTTGTTTTCTATTAGGTTATTATAGTCTTATGACTCAGGTCATGCCTTTTAATAGTTAAAACTCAAGATTTTTTAACTTATTTTCTATGAAATTATCATATTTTCATAACTCAAATTGTGGATTAAGTAGGTTAACATGTATTGATTTAAGTTGTTTTTTTTGTTTTTTTAATTAATTTTTTTTTTAGTTTCATCCTTCAACATTTAATTAGTTATAAATTAAACTTTATGACTTTTTTTTTAGTTTGCTTCTATTGAGTTATTTTGATTCCATGACTCGAATTATAGATTTAATAAGTTAACTTAAGTCGATTTATGTTACTTTTTTCTTTATTAATTATTATTTTTTTAGTTTTATATTTCAATATTGAGCTGATTAAAAATAAAGTTTTATAATTTATTTTTATATGAGGTTATCATGGTCTAATGATTTTAGTCGTAAATTTGACAAATTAACCTAATTTAGTCTAATATATTTTTATCACAATATTTTTTTAAAATAATATTTTTTTAAAATTTTCATGGTTAAGCTATATTTTTATTAATTATTAAAATTATTTTAAGATCCATTATATTAATTGGATCATATCAAATTAATTTTTATATAATTTTGTTTTAAAAAAAATCAGCAACATTTATGTTTTTTGGTTTGCTTTAGATTTTTTTTTATCTAATCCTTAGTGTAGCGTTTATCAACCTTATAGTATCCACTTTCAGAATTATCAACTGAATTGCATAAACATTTCCACTTCAGGAAAAAAAAATCTAATTGTTAATTAAAAAAAAAACTAAAACTACTTCAAAAACACTAGAAATCACATCAACAAAGGCATTTTAGTCCATCAAAATGCTTTGTATAATTGTCGCTAATATATATGCAGAATGGGAACCTAATTTAATTGAGCATCAAAGTAAAAAGACCACACTACCCCTTTACAATATGATCAAAACTAAATCACATGTTAAATTAAATTTTAATTAACAATTTATTATGATTTTATATTTGAAATAAAATATTAATTCACATAATTAAATTTAATATACTATTTAAAATACATGTAGAAATGAATTCAATTAGCAATTTTATTTTTATTTTTTTGGTTCTTAAATCATTTTTTTATAAGAAAAAAATTCACGAGAAAAGGCAAGAGAGAAACTCAAACTGTATGAGAAATATATGCCATTAAAAGGTCAAAAATTTTGCAGCGTAAATCATCATGTTTGTGTGTATGTGGAGCTATTTAAATGTACAAACATGAAAACCAAATTCCATCACAACTAGTACTTGAATTAACAGCAGCACTTGAGAAGCATGTAAGCTTCTCCCAGCGGGATGAACGAGACTGAATATCCAGACTTAGATAATCTGAGGAAAAAAATTTAGTAATCAAAACAGAAGGGTTAAAACCAGCTCCAGTAGGAGTTTTCCCAAGCATAGTAGAACATGATCATCGTTTCAGCATCACCATCACTAAAAATTAATTTCACTCTTGGAATTAAATTCAATTTCAAGCGTTTGAAACAGCTTGATAGTTTTGCAGAAACTAAGGCAATGTCTCAAAAATAAATAAAAAGTAGCTAGACAGGCAACCAAGCAGCTCAATGATGTGGTCACCCTAGTTCAATTATTCAAGCACGGGATTTATGAGCAAAGTGATTAAGTCAAGCACAAATGAGCATGGAAACGAGACATCTTTCTAACATTCAATAAAAGCAATCATGTTTCTTCCCTTTTACAGCAACTCTGTATCCCCACATGTTTGGTCTTTCTACTTCTGGTAAAACGGGGGAGTTTTGTCTTCATGTTTTCTTGTTGCTTGCCCCACCAGTAGAAAAGGTGATATGACGAAACTGGACAGAAACAAGAGACCTGCCTCTAATGGAAGAGGTCTGTAGCAGTGGCATATCTGAAGTACAAGGTATGACGGGTTGGCTTCTCACGTGATCATAGAGAAATCGGAAGAAAGTGGTCTTGGTATGTCTTAGCCCTAATGGCGTATCAAAATGCCTTGAAATGGTTCTAAGATTTCGAATATTGTTCGTAAAATTCGGGGCCGCTGGATATGAGGAAAAGGAGTGGTTTGATCTCGTTCACGGCCACCAGATCGAAAGGAACAGTTTTTAGACTTTCAGGCGTGGTCATTAAGGCCCTGCCCTGCCTATGGGAAGGGCTACCTTGCATCCCATGCCATAATTGGTGCAGGTGCAACAACTACTGAAAACCTAGTCATGCTTACAGAAATGTTGCTTTTGCCAAATTGAGGAGCTCCACCTTGGTAGTTCACATCTTTTTGCATGTTGCGAAAGGAAAAATCTACCACATTTGGATTGATTCCTTCGTCTTCTTCTTGTTTTTTCTCACCCTTTCATTGAAGATGTCTCAAGTGAAGCAACGTTATTTTTTAATGCGAGAAATAAGAAGTCTACGGCTGAAATATAGGTATATAAATTTTCAATACTCACAATTAGAAACTCAACTGCAGAAAGCAGTATCTCTTCCTTCTGATGACGAACTAAAAAAGCTGAACTGTGAGAAACCAATTATGTAAATGATGCAAGCAAGAGATGCAAGAGTGTAGCAATCATGCCACAAATTTATCATCTTCACCATGTAAATATCAATAAGATGGACGCAAATCAATTCTCGAACCAATAAACACCTATTATTAACATTCCCTTCTCTTCCTTTCAGAAAATGACGATAGTACATTCATCAATTTTTTTTGAAGATATTACAAATAGAAACTTCATTTTACAAGTATACAGTAATATCAGTTATTTTCACACAAAACATGTCTGATGCCTGGTTTTTGAAGGCATTGATGTTCGTATTTAACTTGGTAAAAAAAGGATATTCGCAATTTGTTATAAGGCTTCTATTTGTCACCTTCGGTGGAATATATAAACAAAATATTCAAAGAGCGATGACATTCATGAATTTCCTCTTGGCAAAGGCCAACCACCATTTGTTTGGAGTCCCATTGGGTCTATATGCAACACTCAATAGCCTCCCGCTAGTTTCTTCCCTTATCTGTTTAAGATAATTTCTGAATAGCTCTGCAGTTCAAGAATTAAAAGGTATAAATAAACAAAGGTTTGGAACAAAAACAGCAAGGCAGTCAAAATCACAGTCCAACCAAAGAACCTAACAGATCCAACGTTTCAGAATTATGGGCTGAAATCAACAATTGAGTAGAACAGTTATAGCAGGCGAACTTGCAGCCTACTGAAACCACTATTGAATCCTATTTCTACATGATATCTCGACTCAGAAATTATAGCTAATACCATAGGAATAATACAATATCATCAGGCTCAAGGGTATTGAACTTCCCTGGTATGACAGAACTCTTCAATAGAAAATAAAGCCATTACAAAGATTATCTCCCAAACAAAGAAGACTATGAGAGGAAAATGACAAAATCTTCATGGTTTGGAATGTGGATAACAATGTCTCTCACACAAATTTGACATCAGCAGAAGCACAGTAGCGAGGAATAATAGCAAACAGCAATGGCAGTAAAGCCCATATCTTACTGATAGCTAATAATATAAATGGCACTAATCTCATGATCTCTATGATTCAGCCACACACTGAGACAAGACATTATTCAAAGTGCTAGCATGATTATGGAAGTCACTTGATAAACATCAGACTAGAGTTAAGTACCAAATTTATTGAAGCATAACTCTATGGTTTTTGGTTTAAGTCTATAGGTTGAACATAATTTAGTTTGAAGACACTGCTAGTGTGTTTTACTGCTTCGTTGATATAGTTAAGATGAAGCAAGAGAATAAATTTGCTTATGGGCTGTTTAGGTTGTCTAAACTTAACATGACTAAGTAAACATTGCTCATGACATAAAATCTGTTACACTAATTTAACTCCATGGAAAAAAATCATAAAAGAAATTTTACCTGCTTCCTTCTGAGATTGAGGATCAGCAAAGAGGCCCGGGAAAGGAAAGCCAGACTCTCCAGGAACAGGAACCTTCTCCAAACCCAAGTTAATAATTGCTTTCGTTCCTTCAGCCAAAGTTCTGCAACCCTCAAGCCTCTTCAAAGCCACATTGATGTAGAATGTTAAGTAAATAAGGAGCTTATCAGCTGGGCTCTGAATATCAAAATTTCTAAAGAAAACATTGGCGCGAAAAAATGTGATTGCCTCATCAACTATATCAGTTCTATCTGCATAAAACACATAACAATTTCCACACAATCAAGGTAAGAAAAAACATAAAGACAATACTCCAACAAGTATTCGATCTTCAAAATATATTATAATGCATGTGTTTATAACCTTGATCCGAAACTGGAGCAGGACCCTTTATATGACTTTTTAATGGAAGCAAAGGGCAGCCGCAAGCTTTTCTTACTCCCTCCTCATCCACAAAACTAGAGTGATGAACCTAGCCATGAAAAACCAAAACTATCTTTCGAACTTCATCTATAAACAGGAATTTAATTCACATTGCTGCTATCACCAAATATAACCACATGATATAATTAGAGCAAAAAAGAAAAATCCAAGAACCTAAATACATTTATTATTTAAAAAAACCCAATTATGATGTTAACCAAGTTTTTCCCATTAAGTGACTAAAGACACAAACTTTAACATATCTACTCTTGTGATTTCAATTGAAAATGCCTATCCTATCCCAATAGTGTATATAAATCTCACATGATCAACCAACAATTTATATCATTTTTCGCAACTGAAAATACAAAGATGAAAACTAAAGAAAAAACTAGATTTTCAGATTTGATCCACGAACCATTTTCAATTCCAAAGCTCAAAGATTCAAGCTTTGCAATATTTCAGCCAGATAACCGCAGCCCTGAAAACAATTTGAAGAAAGACATCAAATTTACAAATTCTGGGAGCTGGGTTGATGCGTTACAGTGCTAATATGGTAAATTATTGTACAGAATCGGATGCAAAACAACCTTGGTTTCATTGAAAATGAAACATAAGAAAAGAAAAGAAAAAATCAAAGCCCCATGATTTGAAATCTTAAGAAAAGGAAGATAAGATAGAAGCAGTAGAATTACCGAAAAAAATCCAGTCTCTCAGGAGTAGTTGTCGGAGTTTGATTAACGTTGTTGTTTCTAGCCTATGATTTACAGTTTAAGCAGAGGAGATCAAACGCGTTGTCGTTTATGTTCTTTTCTTCTCTTGAGTGGGATGTCTTCTGTTGTCGGATCGCAATGAAAGTTCTCTTGCATAATCAAAATGGGTTAATGATGGTTTTTTGTCTTTTTAATATTTTATTTATATTTAAAATATCATTTTATTTTATTTTTAATATTAACTACATATATTTTATTTTATTATTACATATTTTTATCTGTTATTTTTATCAAAATTAGTAAATAATAATTGAAATACCAATAAGGGTCAGGATTAGCGATAAGGGGTTAGTCCTCTTTGTAAGGTGAAGATATCGTGTAGAAATATAGTACAAAATTAATATTTTTTTAGTATTTTTAAATTATTTTAATAAAATAATATAAAAATTTATTTTAAAAAATTATTTTAATATATTTTCTAATAAAAAATACTTTAAAAAACAACTATAATTATACTTACAAATACCCCTAACACAATTTGAATCCTTACTTTTTAAAGTGCTATATAATATCAAGAAAAGGATTATAGCTTGTTTGAAAGTATGATTATAATTGTTTTTTTATATTAATTTATCAAAATATCTACAAATATAAAAAAATTAATTTAAAAAAAATTAATATTTTTTAAAATATTTTTAAAATAAATAAAAAAACAAGGTTTTAATCTTATGTTTTCAAAGGGCCGAAGGATACCTTGGCACAACAAAAATAAAATTAATGACTGTAATATAAAATATTTGGCTGCTGTATAAAAAATTAATTTGCTCCTTGTATGTTATGTTTTTTAAGATAAAATTTTTAATTGATTTTTTTTCCTTCTATTTTACTGTAAATCCCTAACAGAATAATCACCTTAATTTGTCGTGGATATCACAATTCTCACATACTCATTTGAATTTTAATGAGGTTAGTGAGATGCTTTTGCTTGGAGGAAGATCCTAATGAATAATGATTGACCAAGACTTGTGTTGGAAAGAATTAATCAAAGAAGAAACAAACAATTTTGGGATTTTCTTTTTTCATGGCCACATGACTGCTTAGCTTTCATATCATGTCACCAGTCCCCACCACCTTCTGTGATTATTGACTCTCTGGCTCTGTGCCCCTGCAAGTACCCACCAGCAATCACAGCTTGGTGTTCCTAATCATGTCAATTTTCTAAGCAAGGAATCTTAACTTGCAAGCTACAACGTGTTTCTTGGCTGGCTTGCTCCAAATTTTCCACAATGCTGTCACCGATTTTGAAAGATGACAGGCAATGCTCTCTTCCTCCAACAAAATCTAACAATTTTATTTTATTTTATCATGATAAGATTGCATATATAAGTACATAAAATATATGGTACTGCTTGTGTTTTTTTTACATTTAAAAATATATTTGATTTCGTTTTAAAATTATATATGATTTTAAAAAATATAATGATATTAAGAATTAAATTATTTTGATATATTTTATAAAAAATATCTCAAAAAATACCCTACACCATAACATCACACGCAGACTTATTTGACAATGAAATATATCCTTGTATTTGAATTGATACATATATTTATATGAATTTTTGTTGCCACGACCTTCTCTAAAACTTAAAGCCAGGATAATAACAAGTTAAAGTTGGTATTTGGATGAATCAAACCGACCATTCCATGGATAAAATAGGGTTTAGATTAATCAAAACCTACCATTCCTCCAAGTCAAAGTTGATCAACCTTTCAAATGAGGGGTTTTTTTTTTAAAAAAAAAGGTAAAAATGGCAAGCTTGATTCCTTCCATGGTCAAAGCTTATGAGGGGATCATTTGTGCGTACCATAAGCCACACATCAAAGGTTGTAATAGCAATATTCTACCGCTTGACTAATAGGATATTGCTTCTAATTAGTAGTTAGTTAAGTTGGAAACATCCGGCAAATGTCACGAACACTGCAAAAAGAATTGAAAGGAAATCTAACAAGTTATTAGTATATATATAATATTGTTTGCTTGTCGACCAATCTTGTTCTTGCAGCTTAGAGACACCACATTTTATGATGTGTCTTGCGGTATCATTTTACAAGGAAATCTTGTTTGCTTGGCGACTGCACTCAGCGCAAGCAAACTAGGCATCTTTGTTGTAAAGTAAAAACCATCATCCTAGTCAAGCAAACTAGGACTGTTTGGTTTGGGATCTAGAATATATTAGGTTTAAAAAAATTAGATGGAAATTGACCTAGTCAAATTTAGTTTAATTTCTTTTTAAAATTTTAAAAAAGTATTATTTTAAAATATATATTTTTAATTTCAACAACATAGTTTTAATAGCTAAGTTGTGTTTGGACCAATTAAACTTATAAACTAGATAGCTAAGTTGTGTTTGGATGATGATTATTTTTGCTTTTGAAATTGTATTTTGAAAAAGTGTTTGTTCTAAAAAGATATTGGGTTGATTTTTTTTTGTGTTTTTTTTTATGATTTTAATATATTATTGTTAAAAATAAATAACAAAACTAAAAAAAAATATTTTAATATATTTTCAAGCTAAAAAGATTTTAAATAAATATTCTAAACTAAAATGCCAAACACAGTGCAACTTTGATTTCAAGGAATCATTAATGCCAAGTGTTAAACTAAACACCCCAAAGTGAAATAACTTACAAATCCTGAAAACTAGAAAACTGCAATAACAAGACAAGAATGTTGGAACACAATCAACTCTTACCAGACCTCTAACTAACTCCTCCCAAAAGAATATCCCAATAGAAAAACAACCTTTACTGACTAACTTAGAGCAATTCACGACCCTATTCTTGGTGTTCAAAGGTCCCTGAGGACAAAGAATGATACTACTAGAACTAGCTGTACATTTCATTCTAGCGCTGACACACCTTGGTCTGATCAGTTGATAATGCGCTTTGGATGATGTAAGGTTTCATTGATCAGAATAAGCTTGAGAATGATGATGTCAATATGTAAGGGATATTCGCAAGAGGACCGCGTGCTTGCGCAAGTTCGTGAATGTCCTTCACGATGTCAAATACGGCCTTCGGTTGGGCTAGTTTGAGTGCATTTTCTGACATCCTTTTACGCTCATCTGTTTTCGTGCTAAACCATTCTTTAACGATTCTCGCTGTTTCTTTAGGACTTCTGGTGAAGACACCAGCCCCATTGTCTACAACGTAAGGCACATTGCCCTTTTCCTGCAGTCGCCAGATGAAGAAACAAAAACGAGATGAAATCAGTACTAAATGTTGCCTATCAATCTGTCAAGTTAAGCGAAAGTGCAGAATGTTGATGGCTTACTTGTCCAGGAATGTAGTCATTGAGAATAATAGGAAGCCCTCTAATCAATGCTTCTGCGATTGTGCCAGGTCCAGCCTGTGAAACGTGAGAAGTCACTAAAATCTATTAAGTTCGTAGACAAGAAGGATTCATTTAGTATAGAAAACTGAAGCATCTCAAGCATACTTTCGTAATTATGCAGTCACAAGCTCCCATCCATTTCTCCATCTGTGTCTCAAATCCTCTAACCTGAAATAATGCAAACCAGAGCCTTCAACAAATACATACTTTTGTCAATGTATGAAGTACATCGTACGCTACACATATTACATGCACAAGAAGTAAAGTCCTCTACCTTAACTGGGATTGTCCATTCATGAGACTCCAAGGTTGATTTGAGAACCTCATTACGGCCACAAATGATGATTAATTGCCCAAGTGGTTCCCCAAGTTCTTTATCAAACAGTGATTCTCCGAGAGCCAACGCTGTTTTCTTAACAGGCCCCATACCTTCACCACCTCCCATCAGTAAAACTGCAGGCAAATCAGGGTCCAGTTCAAGCTCTTCTCTTAACTCATCCTACATAACAAGAAACAAAAGAAGCAGTCAGTTGAGCAAATCATCGTAGTAGAGCATGTGTGAATGGGAATGTGTGATCACAATTGTGCACCTTGGAAAGAACTGCAAGAGCAAAAGATGGTCGGATGGGCAAGCCAAAAACACGGATTTGAGAATCTTCTAGCCCATCTAGTGCAGCCCTCTTAGCTACCTCCTTTGATGGGCAGTAACATCTATTCACCCCAGGATGAAACCTGAGAAATCCCATTGTTAAAATAAAACAATTTATGATGGGGAGGTTAATGAAACATCTTACTTCAAAATATCTCAATCAACTAACCATGTAGGATGGCAGCTATTGAGGTCGGTGATGACTGTAACAAAAATCACTTTCTTTTGTAAGCCTTGCCATTTCAGAACCCACAGGGGAATATGCTGCATCAAGGGATGAACACTGATAATTATATCTGGCTTGTACTCCATTAGACCAGCCTCAACCTCCCTGCAATCACACAACAGAATAAGATTAAAGAAGCTCCGTTAGACTTATAATGATAACAAACATTGGATTCACCCATCTTTCCGACATCCAATCACATTTCCAGCTCAAGAAACATATCATTTTAGCTACAGCAGTGATTAACATTATGCGCTGATTAACGGGGTCAGAAAGAATTCAAGAAGAGACTACAAATGCACGATCAGAAGCGGAAGGGAGAAAGAATAAAGAAGTCCTTAAAAGCTCTGACATTTATTAATCAAGAGATTCAAGCTTTTAGTTTATTTTAGCGACCAAATTAATGGATAAAAATGAAAACTGGAAATGAAAACTATAAACTACAACCCACTTGCGGGCAAAGAATTATCATAAAATGTGAAAATATTTCCGAGTAAAACAAGGAGAGAACCCCAGAAAGGTTGAGGAAATTAAAGTGTACTTGGCATAGTAGGCAGCGATTGCGGCAAGATAGCAGGAGTGTATCCATCTGGGAGAAGTGCTGTGAAATGCCACCTTCCATAGCTGTACATGTTTCACCATGAATTTGTATTGCCTCTCCATATCATTCAATGGCCAGCCTGTGTACTCTTTCCAAACATCCTTCACGATTATCTGTAACCACAAATCCTAACCTCTTAAGTTTAAATTATAATCACAAAAGCAATGACATGTAATTAACTAGAGGCTTTTTTTAGCAGAGGAATTGTCCAAGTCAAGAGAAAAAAATCACCACTAAGACAAAGAGGAGACATAGGGAAAGGGCCTTGAAAAGAGGAAAAAATGATTGAATGAAAAAGAAAACAGAAGAGAACAGAAATGAAAGTGGAAATTAAAGAATTCATTATTTTACATGAAAATTGAAAAAGAAATGATTGGAAACTAAGAGAGAGAGAGAGAAAAGAAAGAAAACAAGAAGAAGAACAAACAAATAAATACAAGAAGAACAAGATGGCTGATACCATGTTGACAAGATCAGCAGTTTACTTCTTTACCTTTACATATATATGAAAAAAACAAAACACCTCTAACAAGAGCAATAAAAGATCAAAATCAGAGGCAGCAAAAGACCAAAAAAGATCTTGTCATGCACAGAATCGATCAAAACCCAGATCACATACGTTGTATTCATCACCATATTCAAGCTTGAAAGCTTCACGAATGGCTTCAGCAGAAGCACGATGACCACCACCTGTATCGCTCATAAGGATCAAAACGTTCTTGGTTCTTTCAGCACCAATCTGAACAAGCTCCACGGTCCCATCTTCATCTTCAAAATCATCTTCACTCTCATGAACATGACACTTATGCTTTTGTAGATTATTACTATAAAAGCCATTGCTGCTATTGCTACTACTACTAAAGGACCCAAGATTCCCATAAACTCTTTGTAAAACCTCTGTAAATGATGATTTCCTTGGAGAAGCCACGGTCGTCATTATAACTAACTTTTAAATATTTGAAAAGTCAGCAAATAAAAAGTAACGGAGCCCCAATGAAACCTAACGGTCAAATATCCTTCCCGCCACCGGAAAATGGGGTTTTTCCCGGCGGGGCGAGGGAGAGAGATTGCTGGTTTTGAGAGAGAAAGATGGAGGGACAAGGAGAGGGAGAGGGAGTTTTAATCAGGGTTATTTATTGGTGTTAAGGTTGTGCGTGAGTTGGCGAGAAGATGTAATAGTGGGGTTAAATTTGGGGGAGAAGGATGCTAATGTGCTATGGAATTATGCTTGTTGAAATATGGATTTGTGGCTTGAGTGGGGCATGTCGAGGACTTTATAGCCGTCGGATTCGCATTTTTTTGTGGAATGTTCCAATGGGAAGATTTAGATTCGAATCTTCATGTTGCTGTGGGGAAAGTTTTCTTGTTCTTTGCATGGATGGTCCTGGTGGGTTTTGGGTTTTGCTTTTATGCCCTTTGTTTTCTTGGTATTTGATAAAAAAAAAAAGGATGAGATGAGTATTGAGTTGGCCCTTGATGATGATGATGATGGTTCCCAATGGTAGTTATGTTCAATTATGAGTAGACGATGGAATTATTAATTTATGATAATTACATTAGTGGGAATTGGATTTTTAATTTAAGAGAGGTGATGATGTGATAAGGGGAGAAGAGAAACATATGATTGGATTTTCCTTTAATTAATTAAATCTCGTCCTAATTTTTTGATAGATATTTGACATCATTTAATAAAGTTTTTATATTAAAAAAATTTGGGAAACAATTCAAGGAGGGAGTTTTTTTTTTCTTGTGGATTTCATTTTTCACTTTTTTATGTATTAATGTTTTTATTTCGTTATTTTTCACTAGTGTTACTAGTGGTGGTTCTATTTATGTTGCTGAAAAATGAATTTATTTTCAAAATTGAATTTAATAAAAAATAGTTCTTGAGAAATGAATTTATTTTTGAAAATTAAATTCAATACATGGAGGGAGTTAAAGGTTATTGTTTGGTAACAAGGAATGAAATGGTGGGACTAGAAATGGAAGTTTTATTTTCAATTAGTAGGTTTTTAATTTAAAAAATGAAAATGAAATTTTTAATAATATATATATATATATATAGTGGTCATTGTCGTTTTTATATTGCATAACGCTGGCAACAACTTATCATCCTATCACTTTTCTTTTATCATAAACGCTACTACTTTACATGATGGTGGCATTAATTTTTTGAAAATATATTATTAATATAATATTATTACCACTCCATCATGCACTATCTGTGAAATCAATTTGTAATTATTTTTTTATTATAAACGAGAGGTGTTGAAAATTAAAAATTCATTTCAATTCCTTATTACTATTGTTATCCAAACACAGTATTGTAATTGAAATATCATTCCAGTTCTTTCGTTCCCATTTTCATTCCTTCATTTAAATGACAATATTTTATTTTTAATAACAAAAAAAAACACCCCAAAAAAACTACCATGGTATTTAAATGATCAAGTTTTAGATTCTAAAAATTTAAATGAATTATGAAATTCTCTATAAGCGTATTCATTTTTTCTTATTGATCATGTCTCAAATTTTTTAATTTTTATTACATTTTAATTTTTTAATTTTCATATTTCTAGTATTGATAAAGGTTGTTTTTCAAAGTTTTTTTCTCTATTGTATTAAAATAATAATTTTTTATTTTTATAAATTTAATTCTATCACTCATACATCATAATGATTTAAAAACAAAAATAAATAATTTCATTTAAAACAATTAAATTTTAAACAATTTTTGTTTGGACCAAACTCACAAATAAGAGCAAAGCCTTGCAACAATTTAAAAAAGCATTTTAAAAAATTTACATCCGGCACTCAACCTTAAAGAAATGTTCCTTGTTACTCCTGAAAGACAAAGACCGATAATTAACTTGTAGCAGACTCCAAGTAAGTGGTTAAAGGATAAGCTTTTGACTGATTCCAAATGTTTCCTTCACAGGGTTTCCACAGTCATATCACCCCCAACACCCTTTCTGGCTCTCTCGGTGTCCCCACCGCCTATCAACACCACCTGGGGTCACCGTGAAAATGATTTGGACCGGAACACCTGTACTTTTTTGGAGCAGAGAAAGAAAAAAAGTACAGTTGTGATTGTGGATAAAAGGGTAATGCTGCAAATGACAAGGGCATGAGAGCAAAGATCAAGTGGAATTAATGGAATAGCAAGGGGTGGGGCATGGATTCTCTGGTGATGGGCGGAGCAAGTTGTCTGGCTGGTGGTCGGACCAAGTCAGCCTGTGGTCAGTATAGAAGTGCAGGGGACTAGCGTGACGGCAGCCTCATTAGTTCGGCAATGGGTCATAGGCTTGCACCGCTTCATTCGACCATTATTGCGGGACTGTTTCGGGAATGCTGTCCAACCGTGATTTTAAAATTTTTAATTTTTTATTTAAAATTAATATTTTTTAGTATTTTTAAATTATTTTTTATATATTAATATCAAAATTAATTTTAAAAAAATAAAAAAATATTAATTTAATATATTTTTAAATAAAAAATACTTTAAAAAGCAACCGCAATCACTTCTAAACACATCTTTATTTGCTATCAAGAGTAAATAAAATAATAAATCAAATAAAAAAATACTAGAAAATAAAAAAATACTTGGGTTTCATATTTAAGAAATAAAAAAATAAACCCAAACCAAACTATTTAAAGAAAAATAAAACAATGAAAAGGAAAAAAAAAAAAAAAAACAAGATCCATAACATTCAATATATTAAGAAAGCCTGACTAAAAAATCCATAGACTAAGTTTTTAAAACAAATAACCAAAACAAATTGAACTATTTGGTTTAAACTTATTGTTTGGTTTAGTATGGTTTAATTTAAAAAAATAATTTTTTTTTTATCTAAACCAAGTCAAATTCACCCTACCCCTAACCTCTAAGTAGAAAAATACTTATTGGTGTTTGCCAACTTAAGCTCAAACATCAAATTATATAGAAAAAATATTTACTTGATTAATAAAAACAAGAGATTCTATAATCTAAGAAAATAATATTTGTATTAATGTAATATGCTCATCTTAATAATGGAGTTATTTGTGAAGTTCATATGAAAGTTAAAAAAAATTGTGAACTTCATTTATAATATATAAATATAATGGCTAATATTTATAAGTTTGGTAGATGAATAACATACCATGGAACCATTTTAATGGAGTTATTTGTGAAGATCAGATATGATAATAAAATTTTTTTGTCAAATTCTAATCAACTCGAGAGCCATAATGTCTTAAGACTTGATTTTGACTCGAACACAAAGCTCATTCCTTGTTTTATAGGTGAGTTTCATCACTTCAAGGAATCACTTAGGGTATTGATACAGGGGAACAATCAATTAGTATTAATGAAGTCATGGGTTGATAATATTAATAATGGATAATTACAAAAAAAAAGAAGCTCATATACTTTGGTTTATTTTTCATTTTAAATTTAAGGTTTGAAAAATTATGATTTGTCTTTGTGATCAATAAAAAAAAATTAGATGGAAAGATATGTTTGTCCTTGTTTATAATAAATGTAAATCTTTATAATTTGCTCACAAATCTTGTTTATCTCTCTCTCCCAAACGCTCTAGTCCTCTCTCTCTCTCTACAAATACGACACGCCTACATAGATATGAAGCAAGATCTTTTTCTTTTTTTTTACTTAATCTTTTTACAAGAATACCAAGAATTTAAAACCTCTTCTTAGTGTTATTTTATCCAACCTTGTTCATTGAAAACAATGAAGATATTAATTTTTTAATGGAGTTGTGCTTGTATCAGGTTATTTATGTTAAATTTATGGGTAATGGTTAAAATATTATGAATAAGAACTTGATTTAACAAAAAAATTTATTTTACCCTAATCTTAAAGCCTTGAAAACCCTAAATTAATTGGTTATAACTTGATTGATTATAATATTAAGTGTTGTAGTAATGTTTAAACTATTGTTTTCTTTTTGCAATGCGTGCTTTGTTAACTAAACACAAAAACCTTTAATTTTTTCAATTCAGGTTAATGATCACAGTAACCGTAATTGATAAAATTAAGGGTTTGACATGTATGATTGCTACGTATATTTGTAATCAGTATTTCTACTAAATAGACCTCTAATTAGGTTTGTACTGTTTGTAAAGATAATATACAAAATGTCATCTGTTGTTGTTCACTATGGTGACTTGTTACATATTGAAAAAAATTGTTTTTATGACTATATGACCTTTATGGACATATTATTTATATACAAACAAGTTTTCAATTTATACATATTTGGTTTTAAAATAAAAAACGATAAAGAAAATCAAATATTTGATGATGCGTCAACGTTAAAGCTGATAAATATATATCAAAGAGAAGAAAGAATATGCATTTATATTGATATTGTTGCTTCTATAACAATAAGGATGTCAAGGTGTTTCACCAAAAAAGTTGAAAGCAATAGAAGAATTGGAGTAAAATACTTCAATGTTGGCTGCTGTGTGCAATAAAATTATAGTGAAATTTGATATGGATGAATTGGATATTCTTAATGATGATGATGTTTTGAAAGTTAGCAAAAATTTTAATGACAATTGTTTAAAAAGTGAAAGAATTGAAAGGGGTAATGCTGGCACTAGTAATGTGCATGATAAGGATGGTGATGGATATGCAGATAAGAAAAAGGAGAAGGAGGAGGAAGATAATGATGATGATGATTATATTCTTTCAAATGAGGAAGGATTTGAATTTGTTAACAAATAAGAAGATGAATGAATTGCTAGCTTAGATAATGATACATGTTGTAATAAAAGTTTACTAAATAGCTTAGAATCAAAGGACGAATGAAAGATAAACAATAATGAATATGATGATAATATTATATTTAGTGAAAAATTAAACAATAATTTTAAGGGTTATAAACATGAAAGTATAGGGATTGAGAAGAAGCATATAAAGGTAAAGGTCAATCCCATATCTAGTTTTAAATGCAAGACATTTAAAATAAGAGTTGATGAATCAATTAATTTTCAAGATTGTCATTTCTTTCATAATACAACTAGTTTAGAGTGTTAAGAGAATAGAAAGTTAAATATATCTATTATTTAAAAAGATACCTTAATAAAAAAGAAAGGTTGTAGGAATATGTCCAGGTATTGCTTATAAGTAAAGAATTTATGCTTATTGGAAATAGTACTTTCATAATGTGATTCTTGATCTTGCAAAGGTAGCTTGAACATGTTTTGATTTTTAATAGAAGACCTAATACAAGC